AAACTATTCAAACAGCATTTATGTAGAGATAACTTTTTTAAATGTATGTATGATTTAAACGATTGTAAATTAAATTTTAACCTAAACTCAAAAATAATGCTCAAAAAACAAGCAAATAAAATAAATATTGTGTTGGTTGTTATTGATACCATTTCTCTCTTTGATTGTTAGAAAATGTTATCCCTACTTATCAACAAGACAAATATAACAACATTTGCTCCATTTAAATCTGATTTTCACTATTAGTTTTGACACTGGCACAACTTACCCCCGAAGCATCGGACATAGTTTAGCCCACATTATTTAAAGAAATAAATACATTTATTGAGCAAGAACACATTAAATTGATCAAAAATGACATTAAAGACTTTTAATGCATTTTTGTAAACAAAAGTTCTGTTCCAAATAAATGTTTTGACATTTTTATTCATCAACGAAAGTTTTATTCATTATTATTAAGCAGCAAAACTGTTTTCAACCGATAGTAATCAGAAATGTTTGTTGAGCAGCAAATCAGCATATCAGAATAATTTCTGAAGGATCATGTGACACTGAAGACTCCAGTAATGATGCTGAAAATTCAGTATCGCATCACAGGTTAAAATTGCATTTTAAAATATACTCAAACAGAAGACAGTTGTTTTAAATTGTAATAATATTTCACAATTTTGCTGATTTGATTGTATATTTGATTAAATAACTAGAGCTTTGGTGAGCATAAGAGACTTCCAAAAATATTTTTAAAACATCTTACTGACCCCAAACTTCTGAAAAGGTGAGTATTTTTCCATTTTGGAAAAATAAAATGCTTATTTTTATAATCCATGGCGTATTTTAACACCTTCCATGATATATGCCTGTCATGCAGACAATCTGACATGAAAAAAAAAAAAAAAGTTATTTATTATTTTTTCTCATGTGATGGATCTTTTTGCGTTTGCCAGATAAAGGGGTTGACACAGTTTACTTACCCCACACTCCTTGACACCCTAAGACTCTGCTATCATTGGTTCATATTTAAAGCCGTGAGCTTTGGCCAAGTCTGCGACTGTCTGTTCTTTCACACCTACAGAACCGCTTTATTTTTGGTCCTGCAGTTGTTTGATTATACTAATGGAGAGCTTGGTGCCTGTAATGCTGGCCTGTCATCTGATGTGTCATAATCCAGTGTTTGTGTTATGTGCTTGCTCATGTCACTGTTGCCAAGTAACCCCTCCCCTCAGATACACTGGAAGCCTTCTATTGTTGGGCTTTTATGGATCAAAAGGCACACATTTCCAAAACAACCACAATTGATTGGCTAATGATAATGTTGGGACATGTCAAGACATTTCATCTCAAATGCTCTCATTACACGGGTAGAATGTTTACAGTAGCAAGAGAGAACCGTAAAGCACCATGACACATGCATGGTTGCTAAATATTTAACATTCAAATCTAAAATGACACTACTTACAGTATTCTAGCATTCAAAAGTTTGGGGTTGGTAAGTTATGCTCACCCATGCTACATTTATTTGATCAACAATACAATAAAAACAGTAATATTGTGAAATATTATTTCAATTTAAAATAACTGTTTTATATTTTAATATATTGCTAAATGCAATTTATTCCTGTGATGGAAAGCTGAATTTTCAGCAACATTACTCCAGTCTTCAGTGTCACATTATCCTTCAGAAATCATTCTAATATGCTGATTTGCTGCTCAATAAACATTTATTATTATTATCAAAGCTGGAAAAAAATATATATATTGTGCTGATTTTTAAGAATTATATTCTTAGGATTATTTGATGAATAGAAAGCTCAAAAGAACAGTGTTTATTGATTGATTGATTGATTGATTGTCTGACTGATTGTAAAAATGTAAACATCTTTTCTGACACTTTTATTCATTTTATTGTGTCCTTGCAATCAATAAATAATCCATTTCTTTTAAAAAATACCTTAAAAAGGCAATCTCTTATTCAGTCTGGTTCCATTCTGGTACTGTATATAAAGCACACGTTTCACTATCCAGTCAATTCCAAATAGATAAACTTTTTTTTTTCCTCCAATATTACAAATGTCACATTATGGAAGTAAAATGGGTTCACATTGCTTTAAAGTTGCAATAGAATAGAATACTGAAATAACAGCAATGCTTTGTGGGAAAATCTCAAAGTAATTTTGTACAGCCACCTTTTTTCACACTCAAGGAGAAGTGTTTTTAACCGGTTTGTGTACTTGTGATTGTGGGTGTTTTCTCTTTTTCAGATCCTGTTGCGAGGGGCCGCCTTTTTTCTGTTACTCATCTTCGGAAGTGAGTTATCATGATTCTTCTCCTCTCTCTTTCACACACGCACACACACCGTCTTTTATTACATTACACGTACACATCATAAACATTTGTCAGCATAATCTGATAAAGCCTATTTTTAATAAAATCCTACATTACCCAAAACCACGAATGACCAGCAGGTCTAATCTTTTTCAGATGAATACTTCCAATAAAAGATTGATTATAGCCGTTCTGCAATAATCACAGTGTTTGCCAGTAGAATTGCTCAGTCTCATGTGGCCATTCATCTTAAGAAGGGATTCATTGGAAAAACTGCACGTAGCTGGAAAATGCACACAAATATGCCGCGACCCATCTCTGCTAGACCACAATTAGTCCTTGTTCTGTGGCAGGGTCTATGAGAGGCCTGCCTTCATTACAAACCACTGCACTCTACATCACCACACTGTTATTATGCCAGCCTCAGAATACATTTGCATTCATCTGCTGCTTGTGTGTGTGTAATCTTGAACTCTGAAGCCGGCCAGGATCATTGTGGTGAATGTGTTCTTCAAACACTCATAAGTCATAATGGTGTCAGAAGGAGATTGTTGGTTAATGCTCTATAAAAAAAATTCAGATGCTCTTGTAACAATCTCAGATATTTGTCTCTGCAGCCTTAATGAAAGTATCAAATTAATATTCTCTCTCTCTCTTTCTCTCCTTCTGTAGTTTTATTTGACACTTTGTGATTTGTGTATGAATGCTAAATGGTATTAGATATTAGTCTTTAAAGGGGCCATAACACACACATAGTTTCGGCCAAACTCACGTTAAAGGGTTAGTTCACCCAAAAATGAAAATTAGCTTGTGTTTTACTTACCCTCGAAGCATCCTAGGTGTATATGACTTTCTTCTTTCAGACGAATCCAGTCGGAGTTATATTAAAAATTGTCCTGGCTATTCCAAGCTCTGTCATTGCAGTCAGCGGGTGTTGCAGTTGAACAGTCCACAAGTCGTCAAATAAAGATTGCGCATTTATAATAAAACATGCCGCAGACGGCTCCGGGGGATGAATAAAGGCCCCCTGTAGCGAATCCATGAGTTTTTGTAAGAAAAATATCCATATTTCAAACGTAATAAACACTTTTCTCTCACTTCCGCTGACTGTCATACACTGAAGCAGTTCCGGTGGATGACGTAAGACGCGCGGCGTTGCGTGATTAGTGACGAATGCGGAGAGAGAACAAAACAAAACGCCAGTCACGAATTAGAAGCACAAACCAAAGATTTGCAAAGAAAAATGTCGGAGGATTTTCCTTTGCTAAAGTAAGGAAGTAAGGAAACTTTGCTTCCTTTGCCCCTATTAAACAAACTCGCGAGACTAGCATACTGTATCTCAGAGGCGCGCGCGCTGCGCATACGTCATATGCCTTCCGCCGGAACAGATCCGCGTATGACAGATAACGGAAGTGAGGTATTTGTTTATTTATTTTAAGTATTTGTTTTCATTCAGTTTAAATGTTATTGCCCTTATATGTTCTTTGTTCTAAAAACTGCAAAAAAAAAAAAAAAAAGATGACGGAAGTGAGAGAAAAGGGTTTATTACGTTTGAAATATGGATATTTTTCTTACAAAAACTCATGGATTTGCTACAGGGGGCCTTTATTCATCCCCCGGAGCCGACTGCGGCACATTTTATTATGAATACGCGAGCTTTATTTGACGACTTGTGGACTGTTCAACTGCAACACCCGCCGACTGCAAAGATAGAGCTTGGAATTGCCAGGACAATTTTTAATATAACTCCGACTGGATTCATCTGAAAGAAGAAAGTCATATACACCTAGGATGCTTCGAGGGTAAGTAAAACACAAGCTAATTTTCATTTTTGGGTGAACTAACCCTTGAGTACCTATATAGTAGTATTGCATACTTCATATCTACGAAGAATCTTTAGTTTGATCAGATTTATAAAATAAAGATACAGCTTTACGCTTCTCTCCGAAAACAGCCGAGCTCCTGGAGGCGTGCCGTGGGCGGAGCTAAAGAGTCGCGAGCACATTCGTGTTGTTTACATTAAGCCAAGTTCACACTACACGACTTTAAACCTCGGCAGATCGCTGTGCTGTTCAGACTACATGACTTGGTGTCTGTCTTGAAGTTGAAGTCCTTGAAGTGACACTATATGTGAATGATCCGCAACAGGGGGTGACACACTACAACTCTGTCTACACGGTCCCCAAACCACGTTTTGTCACGAAAACACATGTGAGAAGTTGAACGCGAAACAACAAGTGAAACAGGGGTTGTTTATTTGAAAATGGACGTCGGGAAGAAATTAGTGCTGCAAGCTGTTTGCGTGATGATCTGTTCAGAAAAATTTCGCTCCATTTCTTGTGTCCAAACTTTTCTTAAAGCCATGCTGCTGCTGCTGGTTTTCTTCCACTGTCCTCAACACATGCCTTGGTCTCTCATTGGCTATAGCTCGTTGTGACACCTGACACCGTGTGATGTCGGGTCGGCCGACAGGTCCAGATATTTTGCATGCTAGATATTCGCCAATAACCCGCTGATTTGTCCCCGATCACAGCCCGACCTGTCGGTGAGCTCATTGACTTGCAAATCGGGCTTAAAATACCGTAGTGTGAATTTTTATTTATATGACCTTACGTGGCGATTGCAAACAAAACACAGAAATTTGATGCAGTTTACTTACCTTGTTTACCTTGTTTAGAAAGTTTCCTCAACAGATGAGAGTTGGGACGAGCCGTTTCATTACAGTAAGTATCTGTTTAATCATTCAGTAATTAATGGTGCTTGCTAATGCAGACATCACGATTACTGCTAGAACAAACCCCTAACTCAAAGTATTGAATGTCAGTCTGTAACTCGTGCCGCACCGTTTGTTCTACAGACATGGATGATACTATAAATCATGTGCTGTTTGTGCTACAACTTTTCCAAGTGACTGGACTTATGATTCTCACTTAATGGATGATAAAACACACAACAGAAGGAACATCACAGAAATCTAATAGCAGTGTTATTTTAGTAATATTTATATATTATTATAGTTGAGTAATTGTAGTTGAGTTGACCCAAAAATACAAATTTAAGAAAATGTACTGACCCTCAGGCCTTCCAACTTGTACATGAGTTTGTTTCTTCATTGGAACAGATTTGGAGAAATGTAGCATTATATAATTTGCTCACCAATGGATCCTCTGCAGTGAATGGGTGCCGTCAGAATGAGAGCCCAAACGGCTGATAAAAACATCATAATAAACAAATCCATCAAGACTTTTTTTTACTTTGTCGCTGGCAAAAATACATAATCCATGATAACGCTTCCTCCAGCGTAAAAGTGTATCCGCTGTTGATGTCTCACATTAAAATCCACTGACATATTTGTTTAGAACTGGACTTTTGGACTGTTTTCACTTGTGCTTGATCTGTGCATATTTCTCTCCTGATTCAGATGAGATTACTTTTTTTTACTGGAGAAAGCAATATTATGGATGAAAAGTCATATTTTACCCAGAAGCAACGGTTAAAAACATCTTAGTGATGAATTTATTACAAGCATGCAGCTTAATTGATGGACTGGAGTCATGTGGATTACTTGTGGATTATTGTGATGTTTTTATCAGCTGTTTGGACTCATTCTAACGGCACCCATTCACTGCAGAGGATCCATTGGTGAGCAAGTGATGTAATGCTAAATTTATCCAAATCTGTTCAGATGAAGAAACAAACTCATCTACATCTTGGATAGCCTGAGGGTAAGTATATTTTCAGCAAATTTACAGTTGAACTATTCCTTTAAAGAGTTTCCGTTAACAATAACATTAATAGACCACATATTTGGTGATCTTGTGGAACTCGTCACCAATTAATCAAGAAATGTGGCAGTTTTATTTTTTATGTCACAACTCTGCTGTTCAGGTTTTAATTGTCTGCTTATTTTTTTGGTACAGTGGCATACAAGTCGCTAACAGTGCGTTCGAACACAAAGACCGGAGGAACTCAATCTCCCTGTCAGTGGAAAGTATTGTGTTTATAAGAAGCACAGAGGTGCCGAGCATGGAAGCACTATTACTGTCTCAAGAGCTGTAGTTGAAAGCTTATGACCTGGCGACAGCCGCTGCTTCAATCACTTCCTATTGTTAGGGCAGCTACAGGGCATCTGATGTTCAGGAAATAGCCTCATTAGCTGTGACCCATGAATGCCTCTGTTCTGCATTCATTCCCCAGGAACTAAGTTTATAAGTGCCTGAATATGTTTCAGAGTCATCAGTTAAGGGTGTTTTATGCCGGTTCACTGTTACTTCAAAGCCTCCTGCTTTGTGGGTACCGAATGCTCCCAAATGGATAGTAAAACGGGAAATCAGCTCAAGGAAAAGCGCTTAATAACCATGAGAAATAATGACTTAGAAATGTAAAAATGCTACATCTTTTAATTATTTTCATGACATCATTTTAATTCCCATACATAGAGATGCATATATTCCAGTTAAAACGAAATATTGGAATAATTAAGAAATAATTAAATAATTATTTATTAAATGAACATTTTATAGTCGCTTAGTCTCACCAAGGCTGTATTTATTTGATAAAATACATTTAAAACAGTTATACAGTGAAATATTATTTCTATCTATCTATCTATCTATCTATCTATCTATCTATCTATCTATCTTCTTATTTCAAAATTAGTAGACCATCTTCAGTGTCAGATGGTCCTTCAGAAATTTATTTAACAGTAAATTTGTTTTATGTAATAAATTTCATATATTTTTTTACTTTTGTTTTAATTTAAAAGTATTTGTACTGCAATTAAAGTTAAAAATGTATTACAGCATTTTTACTGCAATACAAATTTAAAAAATGATTTTGGGATGTGATTTGATCATGTTGGTAAGATTCAGAGAGCTTATAAAATGCTTTTTATTATTTCCATGCTGCATGTGATAACGTTTAAGGATTTGTTTATAAAATTGACTTTTGTTGCTTCTCTTGCTGTGAGAGACACTTGGTGATTGAAAGTCTGTCGTGACATCCTCACACAAACATGAAATTAAAATTAATGTGACTTTATGTATGTTTCCAGACTGTTCGACTGGATTGTTCTGTGAGTGTTTTCTGCATCGTGATTAATGCATAACATGACTTGTGTTTTTTCAGATTACTCCTATCTACGTCATGTAGGGTTAACCATCGCCGCAGTTCTCTTTGTGATGGGAATCATGGTGCTTGGTTGTAAGTAAACCCATCTTCAAGTCTCAGTCCTGATTGGTTCATTCTCAAAAATAAAGGTACAAAAGCTGTCACTGGGGCAGTACCATTTCAAAAGGTACACTTTTGTTCCTATCAGGTTCTAATATGTACACTTTAAGTGCTAATATGTACCTTTAAGGTACCAAAATAGACCCTTTAGGTACAAACATGTACCTTTTGAAAAGGTACCACCCCAGTGACAGCTTTTGTACCTTTATTTCTGAGAGTCTTTTATAAACCGTTACGTTTCAAATCCCCCAAACCTCTCTCCTCTCTTTTTTCATGCTTCCTCTATCTGAAAGGTGGCAATGTGAAACGAATGCCACAGTGTCGTATTGGCAAAGGAAGGTGAGCAAAAACTCTCTACCATGAGTGTGTGTATTATTTTCAAGTCAGTAGCATACTACCAAAGATATTTTTTCTGCAGTATATAGTATACACTATATGCAAATGTTGCCAAAATGTTCAGTACATATACAACAGATCCCAATGTGTAGAGTACTATATCCCTATAACGTATGAAAAATAAACCGAAAATAGTACAAGTTGCCATTTTTAACCTCTTTCTTGATTCATTATTTGATTGGAATGCCCAAAGGTAATATCTGCATGTTTTGGACTGTTTAAATATATTTGTAAATAGCATATAAACAGTACATAATTTACTAATATTCCATTCTGAATAACAGGCTAAAGTAGTAGGTGGTACACAATGTATACTACACATCTCTATTAATACGTTTTTGTGTAAGCTCTACTGTAAACTGCTCATTTAGACAAATCTATAGTTAATTTGAGAACATTTGCATACTGTGCATAGTATACATGCTATTTACCGCTTTAAAAGTAGTATGCTCTTTCGTACATAGCCATTGTGTGCTATTTGTATGCATTCAGTGATCGGGTGCCTGATAACGTTTTGCCTCTTTCTGATGTGTCTTTATAATCATTATGGACTTCATTGTGTTTAGACGCCATTAGGGCTTTTATATAGATTGTTCTAAAACACATGATTTCAATCTTGCCACATATGATGAATGCGAAGAATGTAACTGCAATGTGCTTATTATACACCTGCCTGCACCATTTGATAATGAAAGTTTAAAAATGAAAATACACAGCCATTGCATGGAGAGAATGTCAACTGAATTGACTTGTGCAAGAGAGACAACAAAACAGTATATAATTTTAGTAATATACTGTAAGAGAAGAATAATGACATGCTTCTCTATGAAAAGAGCCTTTTCAAATGGTCTCGGCTATTAAGGCAAAAAGGCATAATTTTCTTTCTCTGCAAAATAGGAACAAGCGGTAACGCTTTACCTGGAGAGAAAGCAGTTGTTGACTTGGCTTTACCTCTCACAGAGCTGCTCTGAAAAATCTGCTGGAGGCTTTAACAGCCGATTTATACTATATTTAATGGAATATATAATGCCCTGTGGGCTGAAAAGTTGCTTTACTTTGGAGTTGAAGGTTAAATTTAGTAAGTAAGGAGTCATTTAGCACAGATTAATTTTTGTTAATAAAAGCAACTTTCAGCTGACTTATTAAATAGGGTGACCATATTTTAGTTTTCCAAAAAGAGGACAGTGGGTGTGGGTGGGGCAGGGGGCTGGGGTGTGTTTTGTAGTGCCCAAAGTAGCACCCTGATGCGCAAAAATTATATGCAATATTAGAATGTTTGCGGGAGCGGACGGAATGGACACAAAAAATCTCGGGAGCGGAACATAGCATTTTTTTAGGTCCGGGAAAAAAAAGAGGACGTATGGTCACCCTATATTAAATGTATGGTAAAATTTGCTAAAACATTTACTCACCCTCAGGCCATCCAAGATGTACCTGTAAATGAGTTTGTTTCTTCATCACAACTGATTTGGAGAAATTTAACATTTCATCACTTCTTCTCTGCAGTGAATGGGTGCCGTCAGAATGAGAGTCCAAACAGTTGAACATCACAATAATCATTCCACACAAATCCAGTTCATCAATTAACATCTTGTGAAGTGAAAAGCTGCATGTTTGTAAGAAACAAATCCATCATTAAGGCGTTTTAACTTTAAACTGTCACTTCTGGCCAAAATCCATAATCCCTAATAACACTTCCTCCAGTGAAAAAGTCCATCATCTGTTGTCCTCTCACATCTAAATCTACCAACATATTTGTTTAGAACTGTTTTGGACTGTTTTCACTTGTAAACGTTGTTTGATCTGTGCATATTTCTCTCCTGATTCAGACGAAATTACTTTTCCACTGGAGAAAGCAATGTAATGGATAGAAGATTCATATTGTAGCCAGAAGCAATGGTTAAAGTTAAAAATGTCTTAAATGATGCACTTGTTTTTTTTCTTACAAACATGCAGTTTTTCAATTAACAAGATATTAATTGATGGAATGGGGTCGCGTGGATCACTTGTGGATTATTATGATGTTTTTATCAGCTGTTTGGACTCTCATTCTGACGGCACCCATTCACTGCAGATGATCCATTGGTGAGCAAGTGATGTAATGCTAAATATCTCCACATCTGTTCCGATGAAAAAACAAACTCATCTACTGTACATCTTGGATAGCCTGAGGGTGAGTACATTTCCTGCAAATTTTCATTTTTGGGTGAACTATTCCTCTAGGGACATTCCCACAGGATGTTACTGGTTTGAAAATCTCCTCACAAATCTGATTTATTGTGGTTAAAAATTCGCCATTCTAATTAGACAAAGAATACATTTTCTTCTGACTATAGATCACATTCCATTGCATTGCTGCTCATTTTCATAAAGTTATAAACTCTGGAAATGTTGATAAATTGTTGCCTACATAGAAAACTAGTCCATTGTCAAAATGGCCTCCAGGTGAACTGACTAACTTGAAAGGGACTTTTTTGTTTGGCTTTTTTTTTTTTTTTTTGAGAAAGCGCACAACTAACAATGTCTCTTTTTCTCTCTCTCCAACCTCTTTCTAACCATTTTTTTCTGGGCGTATAGTTCATACGAGGTGACCAGAAGTTAACACTTTCCCCGGCATTGATCAGCTGGCTCTGCAATAAACAGAAGAACAACAGGAGAACACCCAGTCAGTCCTGTTTCCACAGCGGTTATAGACTTACATTTCCCCCTTGTGAGAACAACATCATAAGGACAAGATGGAGAGGTTGTGTATGTGTGAGCGTGTTCATTATTTCAAACTGATCTCCGGGTTTGTCACAGAGGTGCCGGGGAATAAGATGTGTGCTATCATGCAGCACTAAACGCCAGCAGTAACACAACGGCTGGGACTTTGGCAGATCCCAACGTAATCACGCATCTCAGACACAAAATCCCTTCATCCCTCTGGTCTCCTGCACCAAACTGCTCAGTTTAAGCGTCAAACTCTGTACAATATAGACCTGTACTTCTGTTGTATTATTATTATTTCAATACTGTGCATCCTCAGATATGTCAATCTTTTGGAAACAGAACGGAAACATTGTGTAGCTCACATGCGCCCTCAAGAGGCCTTCAGACACATTTATTATTAGAGCTCCCAAGAAGAGAGAATAAAAACAGTTTGACTGAGTCTGTTTAGTGATTCATGTATCTGAATTCACCATCTACATCGTGTCCTTGTAAAAAAAAAAAAATAAAATACAGCTTTATCAGTGTATAACGCTTGAGTTTAGAATAAGTGAAGTTTCATATCACTTATCTTGCATAAGCTCAGTTATGCTGTCACCAGTGGAAAATGAGTATGTGCTGATGTCAGGAGAAAAATTAAAATATCAAGACCATCTCTCGGTGACATTTACCATTAGCATATCTCAGCTGGAAAATTGTGCAAGGTGTTTATGCAAATATTCTATAGTTCACCCAAAATGCAAATTCCGTCATAAAGAAGCTGCTTTTTTTTCATAGCGCATACAAGGATATCTGTAGCAGAACGTTCAAGATGCTCTTTAATGAGCAACAAAACTGAATGGTTGATAACTAAAACTAAGTAAATAAATTAATTAAATAAAGACGAAATAAAAGAAAATATAAATATTAGACGAAAAACTTAAACTTAAAAAGCTTATAGGAAAATTAGAAATGTTGCTTTGATAACTAATTAAAATAAATACTAAAACTCAAACTCAAATAAAAATAAATTGAAATGTTGAAAAGGCATATACTGAGAAACAATTAAATATACAGTGGGTACGGAAAGTATTCATTTTAGCAAATGGCTGCAATATAACAAAGAGTGAAAAATTTAAGGGGGTCTGAATACTTTCCGTACCCACTGTAGATAGATTATGATCTCTATATATTCATTTCCACCCAAATCAGATACATGTAATACTAGCACAGTTGTTTAAAACAATAATATTTATTTAAAATATGTCTCATACAACAAATATATGACAGGTTGTCTTATAAAATATATACAGCAACAGGCATAACAATTTCAACTTCAGTAGAAATCACACAAATGTCCATTAATAACGGCGACGGTTATCATAAGGAATCAAAGCTGTACTCTATTCTTCTGCACTGGGATTGTAGTATAGTACATTATCAAACTACTGGTCAAATGTAGTCAGAAAGATGAATGTATGGAGTATTGAAAATAAGCCATACAGTATCGACTACTGCATGATTTATTTCGCTGATTTATCCAGTGACACTGTAACCCAGCGGTGCTACAAAAGAGTTCAAAGAAAAACACTACTGATAACATTTACAAAAGTAAAATATAAATGGATATTCTCTTTCAATTCTCATAAACTTTTCATAAAACTATTTTAAGTATACATTTTTGCTGAAAGAACATCTTGCATAACATAAAAGAAAATAAGCGCTGATGTCAATTTCTTATGGTTTTCTCTTCAAAGACTGTTGAGCGCAACCTTCAGAGGGAAAATCTACATCTTCATTTTCCACTCTGTTCTTAATTCAACCACTAAGAGAAACCGGTAACAGAATTGAAATGTGAATCTGCGTGAACCAAATGTTATATTACATCGCTGATTTTTACAGTATAAAGTCCCTTCACATGGCATAAAGCAACCTGCACCAAAAAGCCCAAGAGAAAGTTGTTGGATTTAATAAAACCCAACGGTTTATAAAAATCTCTATTCAAAAGAGGGAGGAAAATGTCAAAATGATGTGAAACTGGCTTTCATATTGACTCAAAGGAGCTGATTTTTATTTTTTCTTTCTGTTTTTTTCCAATTGCTGTTATCTGAAATCTTATTGTCTAAGGACACGTTTAGCAAATGATATACCAGAATAGCTATATTGCAAATCTTGATTAATATTACACACTAATGCCTTTATACACACCCACATGCATCAAAGTAACAAGCTCAAGCTGTCTGATGCACACAAGATTGGATTTCTTTTTATCGCTATCTGTAATTTCTTAATTGGATTACATAATTTGCAAAGCTTTATGGGATTGTAGTTATTTCCATCAACATCAAGTACACAGTCTTGTACCTTTTATCTTTTTGTCTGATTTTCAAATACTTGTTTGCTTCTGATGTTGTGATTCAGCTTGGTTTGTTTGGTTTGTGGCTTATAACTCTTAACCCCTTAACTGTCACCCCCCATTTTTTAAAATAGGCATTAAAGTGCACTATCCAAACTTAAATTGTTATAATTCATGGACACTTTGGAATACAGAGAAAAGGTTGGTCTCTTTTTAAAGAAGACAGTCAGCAGATTATTACAGAAGTGCAAATGATTTTAACAAAATTTAAAATATTAAAAAGTTATAGAAGTTTAAATTTACTGTAAATAAAATGCACTGTACAATTTTTATTATATTTTATATAAAATAAATATTTTACATAACAGGTTTTAATCTAAAATTGCTACAAATAAAAAATAAAAAAGTAAAGTCTTATGTCTAAATAAGTTATGTTCCAAATTTGAAGTTGATATGAAAAAAATTGAGGTTCCTGTGAGATTTTATTTAGGGTGTTAAACTGAGACTCAGACCTTTCCAATGATATGTTTTATGTCAAGATTATAAAAAGTTTTGATTGTAAAAGACTGTAATGCATTTTGTAATATGACACTTGACACCACCCGCTAAGGGGGAGGAGACCGCCAAAAGATTTTAAAGTATTAACTTTTTGAACTGTAGACAGTTTTCATAGTACAATTAAATGTTATCTCAATGTCCGATTTCAAAATTGTTTTCACAGGATGAATCGTTGGCTTCTAAGCTTTCAAACGATATATCATTTATGATGATTACTAAAATATTTAATAGAGAAAAAGGACAAAAAAATAAAAGAGCGCCAAACGTCCCACAGGTGGGACGGTGACAGTTATGCGGACTAAGACTTAAAAAAAAAAAAACACCTCAACAATATTACAATAATATTACTGTGGCCATTAATACTTCCGGAACCAACAGCAATGAAAATGGGCGTGCATTGTTGGACTATTAGTACATATCAGACCACTGAATGTTGCGACTGACCAAGCTATGTAATATTCACTATATTTATAAATTTATATTTTTACATTTGTATAATGTTAGTTGTGTTGCAAAGGCGATCATAATTCAGCATCTAATGTAAGATATTCAAGGATTTCCTAACAAGCCATGTTTGAACATCAGTAATGGTCTTTTTGAACTGTAGACAGTTTTCATAGTACAATTAAATGTTATCTCAAAAGATAAACGAAAATGTGATTCCTGATGATGTAACTTTTCAACATGCTTCAGACAAACCAAGCTAAACATCTACAAGACCTATGCAATGTCTAAAGACAGAAAGCATTGCAGTAGTACCAACAATTGCTGGATAAATTTACACAGCCAGACTGATATCTGTAAAGAATAGGGTCAGCTATGGGTCACATTGTATTTAAGGCAATATAAATACATGCACATGAGAGGAGCTTAACCCTAAGTTGCGCATTGAGTAGAGGGACATTCAGCTTATAGTTGAGGAGAAAGATGAATGGAGCTCTTTGTGACATATTCATGCTGTTCAAACACATGTACGCTTGCTTTCCTCAGGTAAATGCTGTTTAATTTGCCTCGGTGATGAATTTGTTCACAGTTTGCCTGGCTTTATGAACTCTATGGCAAGATTTTTGCCCCGCAAGGCATTTTGGGGGGGCTTTTATCATTTTTTATTGAGTGTGCTTTCTGTGAACATGCTCAGAAAGGTTCAGTGTTGATCCATAGAGCCTGTGGTTGCTGTGTGATTAAGCTCCTTTCAGCCAACCTATCACTCAACACTGAAAAAAAAAGCCGTGGCTCAGCTAACTGCATTCCCCTGAGGTAACCTGTAATCCTGCAGAAGAATTTAACCTCAATAAAGAAAGCGAGAGTGAGAGAGAAAGAGTGAAAACAGAGGATATTTAAGCTTGCTTTGTGGAGGCAGGTGTCAGACAAACTCCGCTCTCTTCCAGCCTTCTCTCAAATATCACCATACTCAGCAACTCACTGAAACTGATTACTGTGCAAAACAGGTAACCATCTCGGCCAAATTCAGTTACACAACCTCAAATCAACAGCCAGCATTTTTTTATCTTTTAACTGCATTTATTTTGTCACCTTAAAGGGACAGTTCACCTAAAAAAAAAAAAAAAAAACTTATGTCATCATTTAGTCACCCTGATGCCATTCCAAACCTGTTTGGCTTTTTATTACATGTACAATGAGTAGGGACTGGAGCTTTTAAGCTTCAAACAATCACTAAAAGACATCATAAAAGACGTATGTGCATTATCATAGATGACATGATAGAAAGAAAAAAATAATTTCCATATTTAAATGTGCTGTATGTAATTTTTTTGACTGTACTAAGGCATAAAATACCATAATATGTTTGCAGGTATTTAGAAAACATGATAAGTTTAGATACTTGTTTCTTCTTCAAAAAAAAAAAAAAAAACCGCTAGCTAGTTACTCTACTTTGAAATGTGCGTCCGTGTCAGAATGTCTGTTTTTGTTTTGGTCTGTGTGATTCCACTCAATGCCAGATTGTCCAACAGTATTTTGACACCCCGTGTTGCCATTTGGTGAAAAACACAGCGTATTGCAGCCATGGAAGCCAGCAAACGAACTCAGGAAGTCAGAAATCGCAGATTCTACCTGACCTAAAAAGCCTCAGCATCCTCCTAAAAATCTCTATGACCAGGGGCATATTAAAATACAGATAAATCAACTCATCAACTTCCGTTCACACAGAACATGTTTTTCTATTGTTTTTCTATGTAAACATGCTAGACGAACATGTATGACTATTGCGCTCCCGTCTCGCATCTTTTGCAGCGTCTCACACATGAGCCCCGCATTTTTAAGATGCTGTGTCAACTTAAAAGAATTGTATCTTTTACACGCAGTGCCGCTCATCATTGTCAGTTCCAAAACAATGGACCAATCAGAAGGGGCGGGAGAAACAACTCTACATACTGCACCTTTAAGTCAGTGAGTTGAATTCAAGAATCGGATCCATCTAGTTTGTGAAAGAATCATTGAGGGTTTTGTGAACTAGATCAGCTGATTTCTATAAAAAGATCTAACTCAAAAGAAAGATTTGTTTACGAATGGTCATCTGGACAAGCTAATCTCCATTTGAAACAACATGAAGTTGAGTAAACAATGACAGAATTTTCTTTTTGGGTGAACTATTTCTTTAAATGCACAGGGGACTGAATGACTGAATGCTT